TGCACCCGCTCACACCCTCGCGCACCCTCCTCTTTCCGGTTGTGAGCGCACTGGGCTTCTCCAGCATTTGGCTTTTGGACGTTTTGGCGCCGCCGGCGATCACCGCGACGCTTGCGCGCAGCTGCCTCGGCATCGGTATGGACGTCATGCTCTACTGTTCGAGCGGGCATGTGCAAATTGGCAACTTTTCTCGGTTGCTCTTTCTGCTCGCCTGGCTCGTGGTTCTCCTTCTGGTTTCTACGCTGAGCGTCGCGGTCGTCCAGTGGCGGCGACGGCGCGCAATCCTGTGCATTGAAGAGAGTGCCTACACGGTGCTGCCACCGCTCGCCGTTGCGCACTGGCCGCGCGGTGGGATCGCCGTCGACGACATTTCGGGCCTGCTCTGCGGTCTGCTCTTTGTCTCCAAGACCCACGTTTTCGACACCAAGCTGTGGCTGTGGCTGTCCCCGGAAACGTTCGAGTGGCATCGCCATTGCCTCGTGCTGTTGCCACCGGCGGCCAGGCCGATGTCGTCGATCGTCGCCGGTGCGACGCCGATCAAGCCGGCGCCGCCTCGTCATCGGTTCCAATGCAAGCTCTCGTCGCTTTCGCTGCTTTTTGGCTGCCTCTACATTGTAGCGACGCTCGGAAGCAACGTCGCGTACTTGAACCTGGTGCGGGACAACCTCGCCAACGACTTTTTCTGGGCGGGCTTCAACGCCACCGGGAGCTACGCGTTTGTCGCGAACGCCATCAACCAGCGCCTCTTGACGAATGCATCCACGGAGTTAATCCTTGACGCAACGACACTCATCGATTACAGTCAGCCGTACGACGAGGCGGTCGCCACCATTGCTTGGCCCGTCACGGCTGCGTCCCGTGCCCTCCAGGACCGTGGCGTGCTCACACTTGCGACCGCCGTGCGCGGCCTGCGCACCATGGATCCGTGCCGGCTCCCGTGGGTCTCTACGCAGTACTGCTGGCTCGACGTCAACCAGCGCTGGGGCATGGCCCACACACAAGGCCGGCAAGATCGATGCCAACGCCACATGGCCTCGAACGCCGCCGTGTACCTCGAGACGGCGTTGCGCAACCTCAACGACTGGGGTCGATGGCACTCTTGCTACGGGGATTCGTTCACAATTGGGATTGCCAATGAGCTCCAACGTTCGTCTGCCGGTCAAGGCTTTTTAACGTCTCTGCAATCGACGCCTTTGCTCTCTGTCGAGGACGAAGTCGCCTACTGGCGGGAGGCCCACCTCGTCTTTTACGAGCTCCAGTGGCAGAATTTCAAAACCACCGGGTTCCAGGACGCCATGCGCGTCGAAAACGCACTCGGGCTCTCGTATGCACTTCCAATTGCCAACGTTGTAAGTCGCTTTCACCCGACGCGGCAAACGTCCCACGTCATGAACTGGGCGCTGGCGAGTGATTTCTGGGCCGTGGGCGCGTCCAATGCGTCGCGGATCGCGGGGCGCAGCTTGCTTCGATCGAGCAGTGATTTCGCGTTTGCCAATGTATCGAGCGAGCAGCTCCTAGTCGACAACCTCACCTTGTCGTACCCGCTCTCGAGCGGGTTTCACTCGCTCTCGTCGCACCTGGGGCCGTTCAACGCCGTCGACATGGTCATTGTACCGGTGCCACCTCCGCTCTTGCGCTACTACGCGATGTTTCGCGACGCGCTCGCGAGGCTCTCGGCGGCCAACCTCGAGGCGCAGGCGCGCTATGTGGGTTTGCCCACCAAGTACTTTGTACTCTCGGTGCCAATGGTGTGGCAGGCGCTACCAAACGGCATCTCGACGGGCGGCAACCTCTTGTGTGGCGACAACGCAGTCTCAGGTTTCCTCTCTTTTGGCATGGGCATCGGGTTTGGCGCGACGAGCTACTGCAACTCGGTGTACCTCGAGGCGATGCAGCCGACTGCGCCACAAGTGCTCTTTGCTTTGGCCGCGTTCAATGCGACATCGACGCCGTCCATGGGCGCGAACGACTATGTCGATATTTGCCGCAGCGATGCGATTCTCGACAGTCGCTGCGTAAACGATTATACTGCTGGTGGACGTTTTCTCGAGACGTTCTACTCATCGCTGGCGTTGACGGCCGAGGCGCAAGCGGCCTACGACTCCGTGGCGGTGCTCAACGTTACCGTCGTGCAGTACGGACGCCAAAGCGATGGCTCGTCGTCGCTGCTGCAGCTATCGCTCTTGGGCTCGGTCGACCGCATCTGGAGCTTCTATGGGTGGATGCTGCTGTACGAGTGGACAAGTGGCAGGCGCGAGGTCGTCGCCTTTACGGGGGACGCCGGCGTTGTCACTACGATGAGCCTTGGCGTGGTGCCCGTGACGATGCCACCGGACGCGAATTCGATTCCCCAAGCGTACGCCTTTTACTGCCAGCAAATCGTGCTCTACATTACGATCGTGCTCATAAGCATGGCCATTATCGTCTTGGGCTACACGCTGCACATGCGCGGGCACATTGAGGGCCTCAACCTCTTTGAGTTCAACCGAACGGTTGGCATCGTCTGGGTTGGTCGCAGCGTTCTCTTTGTGCGCAGCCTCACGGCGCTCTGTCTTTTGCATACGAGTACGCTGACGCTATCGAGACGAGGGCTAGGCACACTGCTTGTGTCGCCGCCGCTGCATTGGACCAAGATCGTCCTCGCGGCCTCCGAAGCGACGTGGCTCGTCTACGTCCTCAACGACATTTTGAGCTGCGTCACGCAGCAGTACACGCCGTCGTATGCGTACAAAAGCTCGCTCCTCACGTGGAGTTGCACCTTTTTCTGGACGCTCCTCGATGCACCGCCAAGTGCGACCGCCAACGTTGCGCGTGTCTGCGAGCTCGTCAACATGGACGACGGCCTCGTCTGTGTGAGTGGCCGCGTTCAAATTGGCCGCGTTGACCGTGTCTGTACGACAGTCGGCATTGCGCTGGGCTGTATTCTTGCGACCTATGGCATCGAGCGCATGCTGCAGCCCGCGCTCCGTCGCCGAGACGCCCCGTCGCTCCTACTCAACGCGCAGAGCGTCTACTGCCTTCTCTTTCGCAAAGTGAACGGCGCGTGCTACTTGGACAAGGCCTCTGCGGCCCTCGCGGGGCTCCTCACCTTCTCGCAAGGTGACGTGTGGTACGTTCTAGACGTGAAAACGTGGCGGCTCCTCGTGGTGCCGACGCGGGCGTGGACCGACCACGACGACGCTGCCCATCTCCGCCACTGCTTGCCGCTAAGTCAACTCTAACAGCCGAAGCTCGAGCTAAGAACGGTAATGCGATGCTAATGTTTCGAGCACAACTACCCTAATCGACGTCGAAGCCAGTTCCACACGAGCAGAATGACGTTAGAAGGAGGAGGAGGAGGGTACAGGGCCCAGCATCAGCACGTCTTTCACCCGGGTGTCTGGGCTGACGATCTGGTCGAGCTGGCGACCTGAGCCGGCAAGCTGCACAAGGGGCCAAAGCAGCATTCGCGAGGAACCTTCTCTGCAGTGCACTTGGCTGACGTACTCGTTCGACGACGTCATACCACTCTTGCGCTCACAAGTCGCAGCTGAGAGCTGGTACCGGTAAGCTTACAGTGCTTCAATGCAGCATCGTATATCGCGGGAGGATTGCATGAGGCGAGGAAAGCTACTGCAGCCGCGCGCGAGGCTCCTCCTTGCAGTGTACCCAACGAGCTGCGTCGTCGGACGGAGAGCAGAAACAAGGACGTCTTCTGCCCACATACAAAAGTGTGCACCGGTATCTTGGGTGCGGCTAATGGATGGACGGCATCCACCTTGCACTCGCTGGTAGGACGGTGCGAGTCGATTCGTTCGTCGACTCGTGAGTTGCAGCTTCCGCAGGTGGCAGCTTCATGACGTACTATTGCCAAGTATGCTAGCTGCCGTTGCGAGTCATCGAGGACAATGCATACGACTTGGTCTAGCGCAGCCCTCGTACTTGATCTGTTTTGAGACCTGTTTCCGCTGCTGAGGAAGCCACGAGACATGCCCGGATTCTCAATGCGATGCACCTTCTCGCTCGCCGCTGCTTTCCCAAAGTGACAAAGACGCGGCACCGACGCCATCACCAACGTGTCACTTGCCGCGGTGTCGCCGTGTGTTTTTGCACCCAAGCCAGGTTTGGCGGATTCGCGTCGCGTCGCCAAGGGTCGGCGGGCGGCGGTTGCTCGCGTCAGCGTCAACGAGCCCGTCGGACGCGCAATGCGTTCGAAGGCAGCAGAAATATTGAGTTAGGATGCTCGAATGGCGGCAAGGATACTTCAACCTCAACAAAACCTGGTGTTGGCTCGTCCGGGCGTTGGACGACGCCAGCGATGCCAATCAAACAGATCCGGCGTCGTCCGCGCCGTACATCACGGACGGCTTGTCTCGGAATTTGTAGATGGCTGGTGCGCGATGTGGAGTGTACGGGAATGTACGGTAGCCGCCTTTTGCACCGGCGACAGAAATATGGAAGTGGTCGCGGTCCATGAACACCACCATGTTGAACCCAGTCGCCAATTGGACTTGAACCGCGCACCGTCTTCCACCGACTAGAGTATGAGCAGCCGCAGTTCCTGGACAGATCTTGTCAAGGTTTGGATCCAACTTGGTCAATGCCTCCGGGCGTCGGTGGCCACGGCGCCCGCTGGGACCAGCGACGAGGCGTACGTCGTCAAGAAGCCGACGCCGCCGCCGCGCCCGGCCAGCCCGCCGCGCCCGACACAGAGCACGCTGCCGCGGTGTCAAGTGCTGACGCGGAAAGGGTCGCCGCCGAGCTTCCACTCGCTCTTGGATCGATTTCTGCAGCGACCCAAGTCGCCGATCCGCCTCCCGCGTGCCTTCTTGAACCGCACCGTGCTCACGGTGGCCGGAAAGCGCGTGCCGTTCACGCGCTGCATGTCCAAGGTCGCGCGCAGCCAGATCAAGCCGCTGCCGACGATCGTCGAGATGTACACGCGGCATTAGCCAAAACCTTATGTGTGTATTGTTATTTAAGATGCTGCCAGGTCGAGTCCCAAGTGCAAAGTTGTCGTCGCCGCAACTGAAAGTCGGCTAGCGGCCGTTTTAATTCAAGCCAATCACGTGCGAGACTTAAGATACGCTCCGCCACCATCTATGCTTCCTTGATCACGGCAGGTTGCTTGTGCGATCTCGCGCCGGTGCGATCGTTTTCTGCTTGGTGGTAAACGAGATGATGGCGTGCGTCTATTGCCACGTACGACGACCTGTTACAGCGTCGCCATCGAATGGAACGTGCTTGTCTTCCGCGAGTCGCTGTCTTCTCGTGCTTTAGCTTTCGTTTTTCTACGTCGTAGGACCATGGAGGTTCGTGCGAGGTCGTTCGATCGTCATTGCTGCACGTTGCCGTTCGTTGACGTCGAGCTCTCGAATCCGAGAGCCAGGAAACGAAGTGATAGAGCCTAGTATGTAGGCTCTATCATCTCGTCTCTCTTGCAAGATGCAAGAGGGTTGTCCGAGAACGACCCCATTTGATTTTTGCAGTGAATCGTCCAACGCCTGGAAGAGCACTCGGGCACGCCAGGCCTTGGCACGAGTTTCGGACGAGATGATGTGGCCGACGCGTTTTTCACTTCGACTTTTATTTTTCACTGGATTGTACACGTGCGTGTTATGTGTTTTCCACGTGTGGACCACTTTTTGACACGTCATGGCCGACGAAGTCGTCGTGCTGGCGGTCGGCGCCTTCCAGCTCTGGCTGAGCCCGTTCGCCAAGGTCGAAGAGAGCTTCAACCTCCAGGCGATCCACGACCTCCTCTATGAGCGCAACCTTACGCGCTACGACCATTTCGAGTTCCCAGGCGTTGTGCCAAGGACCTTTCTCGGCGCGCTGCCGGTCGCCGCGGTCGCCGCGCCGGCCTCGCTCCTGCTCTCCAAGGCGTCGATGCAAGTCGCCGCCCGCGCATCCTTATGGCTGCTCTCGTTTGCTGCGTGGCGGACGCTCAAGCGCACGATCGGCAGCGTCTTTGGCTCGGACACCGCGGTCGCCTACAGCCTCGTGACCGCCGTCCAGTTCCACTTGGTGTTCTACATGAGCCGCACGCTGCCCAACATCTTTGCTCTTGTACCGTCCTTCGTTATCTCTATGGACGATGGTGCGACGTTGATGGGCCGTAGATCTTGGTCCTGCTGGCGTACGCGGCGTGGATGCAGGTACGACATGCGCATTTTCGCCTTGAACAAGCCGTCGTAGCACCAGCCTCGCCGCGTCATCGTGCTGCTCAGCGTCTCGACCATCATCTTTCGAGGTGACACGGCCGTGCTCTTTGCCCCGATCTTGCTCACGCTGCTGGTCGCGCGCCATGTACGTGGAAGCGTTTGATGCAGTGCACGGACGAGCCATACTGTCGTAGGTGGGGTTTGTCGAGATGGTTGGGACCGGCGTGACGGCTGCGCTGAGCGCGTTGGCAGTCACGGTCGGCGTGGACTCGGCCTTTTGGCAGCGCTGGCTCTGGCCCGAGGGCGAGGTGCTCTACTTCAACACGATCCTCAACAAGAGCCATGAGTGGGGAACACACCCGTTCCATTGGTACTTCACATCGGCGCTGCCCCGCATCCTCGGGGCGTCTGCGGTCTTGCTGCCGCTGGGCCTCACGTACCGTCCTCTCTGCTTCTCGATTGGATGCGTGACGACGTATCGACGTAGATCGCTCGGGTCCATCCTTCCAAACCTCTCGACGGCGCGGCTGGCGCAGCTCCGATCAGCCAACTGGTTGGACCGCGACGTCTGCTACTACGTGCTGCCGGTCGAGGATGGCGTTCTTGCGTGCGTGTCAGTCACGCGGCGATGTAGGTGGTTTTGTACATGCTGCTCTTTTCGATCCTGCCCCACAAGGAGCTTCGGTTCATTCTGAACGCGGTGCCGATGCTCAATTTGGCGTCTGCTGTCGTACGACCGCCTCCTCACGTGGTGGTTGCCTTCAGTGTCCACCATAGGGTGTCGCCAAACTCTGGCGCGGCCGGCACAAGGTACATTCCTTAAGAGTCTCGATGGTCGATCGACGTTGCGTAGACCGCATGGCCCTTGCTGTGTGTCGTGCTAAGTCTTGCCATCACGGCGCTGTGCTCGGTTGTCTTTACGCTCGCGTCGCATGCCAACTACCCGGGTTTGCCTCTGCGTTGGACGCTAAGATCTGGATGGATGGCGTAGGCGGCGTCGCATTTGCAAAGCTGCACGCGCTGCAACATGTGCGCGCGACGGAGCCGGTGCACGTGCACATTGACGTGGCAGCGGCCATGACGGGCGTCTCCCGCTTTGGCGAGCAGTATGCTGCGTGGACGTACGTAAAACATCTCTATATCTATCTGTCGATACTAGACGTGCTATCGATACGGCAGGTACAACAAGACGGAAGACTTGACCGACTTTAGCGCGTTTGATTACTTGGTGACGGAGACGCCGGCGCGTGAGGTACGGCGCGACGGGATTGCAGCGCTGGACGGAACGTGCTATCCGTAGGGCTTTTCATCGATCGCGGTGGTCGAGATCTTTGATCGCATTGACGTCCGCCGTCTCCAGCTGGTGCATCGTCCGTACATTTACGTCCTTGCCCGCGACGCTGCGTCGCCGGAAGCGTAATCCCTGTGTAGCCCAAAACGTTGCCTAGCGATAGCTTTATGCAATGAACCAGCGACACGCACATCATGATGGGTCGTCGAGAGGTTTTGATCGGTATATTAGATATGTCCATACAGCAGTGTTTGTGACAAGCAAGGACGACGATGTACAGGATCAAGCGTCGGGGATGTGTTCGTTGTACGTGGGCGGTTTCTGGGCCTGGACGCGGGCTCGGTACAAGAGGTACGCAATGACGAGCAGGAGGAGCCCGACGAGAACGAACGCGAGGATCGCCGCCGTCTTCCACCCTGACGACGTCGTGTTGGACGCCGTGTTGCTGCCGAGCGACCCGGAGGACGACCCACCACCCGACTTGGTGATTCCTTGCGTGAACTTCTGCGTCGGGATGCCGTCGTATGCATCGGTCGTCGCCATGAGCGACTGGACGTCGGAGGATGCCAGCTGGAACGTCATGGGCTGAACAAAGGCCATGCACGACGTGTCGAGGCTAGCGAGGTCGCCATCGGCGCGCACAAACGAGCCGAGGATCTGCGCACCACAGGGTGCTTCGTTCTAGAGACAGTCAAGACCTTGGCGTCGATGCCGTCGCATACCTTGGTGGTGACAGGCGTGTTGCCGACGACACCGTGGGCCGAGTAGTTGAACTCGACGAGGCGCTTGGCGGTGCCGATGAAGCTATCGTATTGGTACGACCCGTACTTGTAGTACGTCTGCGGGTCGAGGCGACCGCCCATGAGGAGCACGGACGCGCCGGCGGGGATCGCGATCGGCTGGTTAAAGTACTTGTCGGTCGGGTACTGGAGACGGTACGGCTTGGATGTGACGCCGGCGCAGTTGGCGTCTTTGCCGCCGCTCGCAATGCAGTACATTTTCGCGAGGTCCGAGACGTCGCTGCCAATTAACGTCGACTTGAACGCCGACGCGAGCGCCGAGGCACTCTCGGTCGGCGTGCGCCAGAGCTCGGACGCGACGACGAGGTTGTACAGCATCGTCGAGTCGAGCACATCCGAGTCGTCGCTGCTCCTAAAGCAACCAGAGCAAACGATATTCGTCAGCAGATATTATAGTTTGAGGAAAGATTGTCGTCGTACGAGCTTGTCAATTGGACGAGAAAGTTGTAGACGGCGAGCGCATCATTGGTGTTGCAGCGCTGGATGCGGTAGACGAGGGCGGGGATGAGCGGCCGCAAGCTCTGGTCCTGGAGCAGCGTCGAAAAGACGATGCGGAGCAGGTCTGACGGCGTCAGCCCTTCTTGCACCGACGAAAGCAGCGACGCACACTGCGTCTTGGTCGGCGCCGCGTCCAAGGAGGCGTACAAAGCGGTCATCGTGGTCTTCAAATCTAATCGCACGCGACCTTAGCCGCCGGACACTCGAAAGTTGACGCACCCGAGCCGGGAAACTTGGCGCTGCAGAAGGCATCTGCCGTGCAGAGTTCGACAAAGGTTTGCGCTACAAATTACTGTGTTGAGACGTGCCGTCAATGTATACGATGGGCCCCGTACCGACGCTGTCGACGTTCTTGTCCCAGTCGTTAAACACCATTTTCTGGTTGGTTTGGCTGCCCGAGTTGGAGACGACGCCATCGAGGATGTAGCCCTTGATGCTCGGGTTCTCGAGCTGCATGAGACGCTCGACGAGGTACGTGCCGTAGCTCACGCCGTACACAAACGTGTTGTCGTTCCCGAGGCTCGCAATCACTTTGGACAAGTCCATGGCGGCACTCGTCGTCGAGAAGGACCGCAGCAATGACGCTAGATCGCATTTGCTTGCACATGCCATTTCTATCCGCTCTAACGTACCGTCACCGGCGCCGAGCTGGACGTTGACGTCTTGGGCACATGTCGCAAGGACGCTGTTGGTGATTTGACCCTTCGTGGGGCTCCCCGACGTCTCGATCTGCGCGGCAGCACACGTCAACCGGTGGCTACGTCCTGTGCCACGGTGGTCCATCGTGTACACGTCGACAGCGCCACCGAGGACGTTGTAGAGCAGCACCATGAACGACTCCACTACAAGTATTATAAGTGCATCGCGATACGAAGAGGGGAGGTGCCGTACTGTTGACAGATGAGGCGCCAGGCCCACCCTGGAGAAACCAAAGTGCCTTGGTCGACGTCGTCCGCGTACTTGCGAGCGCGCGCTTGACAAAGACGGGAATGGTCGGCATGCTGGCGTTGGCGGTGCAGAGCCCGGCGTGGCACAGCGGCAGCGTGAACGTAGCGCATTCAACAGTCGTTGCGCGCTTGGGCGCCGCGAGCGCCTCGATGTACGTGGTGCGCATCGGGTGCAGAAGCACGCTCCACATGCGGCCGTCGTCGCCGATGCTGGCTTTGAGCGACAGGACCGACGACGACGACGATGACTTGGGCGGGCGCGTCGCCTCGGTGTTGATGCTGCATGGGTACCAGCCGTTGATCGGTAGCGTCTCGGCCGCGACAGACGCGGTGGCGACAAGCAGAAGCAGCGACGCTCGTAGGGCCATGGCGGAATATGCTCTGCGTGCAAGTGCAACTCGTGCGCGTTACCAGCTGGCACCCTCTGCTCCCGCGTGAGTGGCTAAATTAGCTTAATCAGTATGTACGACTTCGATGTCGGGTCAATTTATACTACGAATTAGCGCTCAATCGAAGTTTGCTAGTTGAAGAAAGTGCGCATAGTGCGAATTTCGTGGTGCAGTCCAGCGCGAAGCCGGGAGACGTTGAGAGGCTTGCACGGCGTTGATTGCCCTTATTACTGTTGCTCTAGACAGTTTGTACATTGCACGAAAGCGGCATCACCTTGGTGCATGGTCACGCTTCATGTGCGCCAACCCTGCAGTCGTCGGAAAGGCAACAGGACAGGGAGTTCTATCGTGCGCTCGTGCGACCTTCAACACGAAGCAATCTGGCAACACTCAAACTACGCCTGCATCGGAGAAGGCGGACTGATGTCCAGGGAGTAAAAAGAGGTGTTGGACAGAGGTCCGAAGATTCCATCCATCCTCGTTACTAGTCTGGTCATGATTTGCTGTTGCGCACCAAGGCTGTGCATCGTTCATACTAGTACAGTACTTGGTAGCGTGAGCGTTGTACTGTAAATGTCGGAGTTGTCGCCATCTTCATTTACAATTCTGCTTGCGTCGTGCCACTGAAAGACAGCGCATGGACTTGATAAAGGCCAATTGATGCCACTACGACCCCATGAGAACCCGCTGATGAGAAGCGGATCGCTTGAGATGCGAGTTTTACTATGCCGACGCCGGTCGTCTACCGCAATCGATTGTATTCAACAAGCATCAAATCGTTGTCGCTGCAGTTACGGACTAGCCCCGCGCATGGGCCCTGCGTCGCTCCTGTCCGAGCGTTTCTTGCATCTCGTTTGCGGCTCGCCATCAGCGTTCTCTTCTTCGGCGACGGCATTTCCCAGAAGAATGGACGTGCGGTGTGCTACGCCGGGTCACTGGTTCGGACTTGAAACGGAGGCTAGGGAGCGTTGTGGTGCCCGAACGAGCGAGCAAGGAGCCTTCAAGTTCACGATCGCGCAGCTGAAGCACACGCTTTTTAGGGCAGACAGCGGTATGGACCATATATGAAAGCGCTGTGTGATTGTGCAGTGTCATCGGTTTGCTGACACGAGAACCAGCGTGTCTTGTGGCGAATGGCTGAACGTATCCGTACCGAGCTCCGACTGCGGAATGGACAACTTGATTTCCCTTCCAGCAACTCTGATTTTCAAGTTGAAGCTTGTGCGCAGACTTGCTACTCTACACCACGTCATAGATAGGTCAACCTCGTGGAAAGCGTGGGGCATATTTTGTGTCCTTGCTGTCGAAATGTTGCGGAAGAGACGCAACACTTCGACTGGAAGAGCGCGGTATCCAGTATTGCTTGTCTGAACCACTCGTACAGTACAATCGCAGCGCATATCTCTGTCAATAAGACTTCAACATGACTCGTCGCACGCATATCAGTTGATGCAAATGGTGCGATCCATGCCTCTTCAAGAGCTCCTGTGCCCCGACTCGATCAAGCATTTGGATCCAGTAGTCTTGCACAATGCTATTCACTACCAGGGGATGCGTGTTGATGGGATGCGTGTTGATGGAACGCGAAGGGTATCGTCATGTCCATTTTACACGGAACATGTCTGAGGAAGTAGCTAAATTTGAGGTCGTTTGCCGTCGTCATCTGGACCAAGCAAGAACGCCATAATCATAAACTAGGTCGCGCATAAACGAGTGCAAATCTTGCCAGGTTGATACTTCGTCAAGCACAGCAAAGTTAAAATTATCAAACGGAGCCGCGAAGAATCAAGTTGCAGCCATTCATAAGCCGCGTTGTCGTGGACCATCATCGACTCTCGAGTTCGATGGCGGCATTTGGACGCACAAGAAAATTCTTCCTTGCCACGGTCTTGGTCGCGTCTCTTGGTCCAAGCCAATCACAGTGCGCCACTAAAGCCGATTTCGTCCAATCACAAGGTGCCACTCGAAGCGCGCCCCTGACGCAGCGCCAGCCGACCGCGCGGTTCACGGCCGACCATCATTCCTGCAATGTGAAATCTGATTGTATACGTTCTGAGAGGTTTCACCCAATTGAATGCACGTCAAACCGGTCGAAATTTCTCGAAGAGACTTGTATTCTTTAAAGCCAAGATACCTTTCCGACAATTCTTTTAATCGAACCCCGTGGTGGCCTTTGCATACAAATCGCAAGTACAAATCCAACGGAAAGCCAGTGTGTGCATTAAAAGACACGGTGTCGGGCATTAAAGAAACTGCATTTAAAAAACGGGCGGACCAAAAGCACTTGGCGTTTGTATGCAAACGCCGGGAGCACGAGTGAAGGTCGCAGCCGGCCTGTACGTTGGACTGAACATTCGCCGATTTGGCCGTGGAGA